GTATTACATTTACTGCACCTTTATCAATAAATGTCGTTTGACACTGATATCTTTACGATGAAATGAAATGAACGAGGCAGTAAGTTCAAAAGTTTACCGTATAGTTGCGAATTCTCATGAAATTATGCTGGTGTATTTCGCCTGTTTCTTGAAACGATACAATACCACCGGATAAAGCATTTGGCACCACTTCAGAAAAGCTATGTGGCATATAATCTTCCGTTAATTCTAATTCACTGTTATTAGTTACTTCATGTATCACCAGTATAATGCAGTTCTTGTAGAAATATGTCTAGTAGAAGTATTAAAAAGATACTTGACCGACTATATCCTATTATTATTATTATTATTATTATTATTATTATTATTATTATTAAGTTGATTACATGTAAAATACTAATGTCATCAAATAGTTTTTGAAGTATGCAGTGATTCTGTGCGTAAATTTATTGTGTGAACGAAATCTGTTCTTAAGGTAAATAACATGATTGTTAGGAATAGAATTTTCAATCATGTTCAGTATGTATTTATTAACACTTATGTCAATATCTGGGCTGTTAGCAGCTGGAGAAAAGCCGTCAGATAAAAACTCAGCCCTTTTTATCGTTTTGGCTTTGATCAAAGTAATCAAGGAAACTGGGTGCTTGAAAGACTACCAACCGTATTCAAGAAGAAAAAAATGCATACCCTAACACAACTTCATCAAAAAATGTCTACATTAGAAATAAAATTTGATGCTCCTGTTATGTTGTTTCCAAAATTATGTATTATTTAATCCACTTATTTAACTTTCGTAAACATTTATACCTTGTACTACTGCATTAATTTCCTTGTGTAACTATTAACAACTTGAAAAACTGACATTAACTAATTATTGTTAATAAACTTATCCCTACTAGATTGGTAAAATTTCGCACTGTATAAATTTATGATTTAAGTTGCTGACATATTACACAGTAAGTCTTCACTTACTTTGTAAAAATGAAGACTGGATGCTGCATCTTTTCCACCACCTTCCCCACATTCTGAATACACAGTGACCTCTTTAGGTTGTTCAACAACCTCCTTCATACAGATTTACCCTTCATAGGATAAACGAACTATTTGATAATTGATATAAGTGTAAAACTTGGGCACTGTGGTAGAGTATAACTCCATTATGGATAAGATTTTATTTCGATAAATCACAGTTTTTTTTTTGATAAGTCACACAGTGTTGTACAGTAATATTAACTGATGACCACACGCTTCGAGCACAAACTATTGCTCAAGCTCAACTTGACATGATTATGAGCAATAGTTTGTGCTCGAAACATCATCATTTAATATCACTGTATAACACTGTGTGATTTATTAAAATAAAATCTTATCCATTATGGAGTTATTTGATAACTGATGTTCAGATTTGTCTCAATACTCACACAAGATGGCTGTCGCATAACACATGAAGCTAACAATTTCAAGATTATGCGTATATATAATAATTATTATTATTAACATACGAAATACATTCTGTTATTGTCATGATATGCCTCTCAGTTAGTTGTTGTAAATTTGTTTTACCGCGGCAGCAAGTACATAGGAAAGATTGAAAGGAGAGTGTTCCCTAAACCTTCTGAGCATAGCCCTAAAAGTCTCCATATGAAAGATAGCAAAATTGTTCTCCAGTGCGCTTGCCAGATATCTAATTAACATACAGTGGAAATTAATCAGGCTTTCAAAATAAACGATATGCAAAGAAAACCATGGTTACTTCCTTACGCATATATCATTGCTATCAAAAGATTTTGACCCAATCTCTGTGTACAGGAAGATAGCATGACTAATCTCCCAATATCGTGGTAACTAAATTGCTTTGTTCATGTGATTTTCAATTTCGGTCTGTTGCACAACATTTCACTGAATTTCGATTCTGATTTTCACTTACTGAGTTCATCTCACAGTTAAGTCTCCGAATACACTTAATTATTTGTCTATATCATAATGTTACTTTGAGGTTCACTCCCGACCGCTTGAATTCTACATCATTCTATGTATAAATTCACCCTGTTGTTCGATCTTGTATTCTGCCTCGAGTCAATCTTTCTTTCCAAGTCGAATCTGAACTCTCCTTTCCTCCTGTCTAATCGTACTATGAATAGTTAATCTTCTAACACCTACATGATTTCTGGAATCATGTTGCTTATACTTTCTATCTATAAGTTGAGGTCACTGTGCGAAAAGTATGATGAGAATTTTTTTAAACTTATACCATTTGTTATTTACTAGGGTGTAGGCAGTTGAAGGGAATCCACGAAACGAAGCGAGCTCTTGTTGTCCTGCAAATCTATTGTTTCAAGTGTTGGTTTTCAGGGTTTTGATTGGTTAGAGGATTTTCATCTTGATCTAACTTCGGTTGGAGAACCATTGGAAAACCTAGGAGTACTGGACAGCTGTTTCCTCCTAGTTTGAGACTGTCCACAGTATGCAAACCTCAGGGGTACGAGATGAAGACTTTCCGGTTACAAAGCGATCTCGTAGACTATTAATGCACTAGAACACAAACCAACGGCCTATGAATTCCAACTTCTTCCGATTCACGATATAGAGCAACCACTAGCTAATGTCTTCGGCTAGTATTTTTCTTTTTTCTTTCTTTCGTTCTTCAAACTAATAAAGGGAGCCGGTTTTATAAAATAATCAATGTAAGCGTAGGACTTGGGGATTGGGGTGGAAGGTAATTCCATATTAGATAGGTTTATTTTACGCATCACACGGTGACGCAATGGTTGACATTTTTAGCATAATTTATTGCTCATAATCATATCACTTTAGTCACACGGGTTCATAATTTGTCTTATATGCATTTCGCTCTTTCACTCTTCTCCTTGCCACTCTCTATATCTCTGGTATAGGCCTTGAATCATTTTTATTTCACATGTGAGGTGTTGAGTCGGTCGGGGACTGTGGTAGACTATAATTTCCATATTAGATAAGTGTATTTAATATAATACAAACAGTGATACCGTAATAATAACGGGATAACAATGTTTCGAGTGCATTTTATCTCTTATATCCATATTAAACAGCATTCACGCGGTTTCATAATATGTTTTACATACATATTTTTTGTCTGTCTATCCCTTATTCTATATTGCAATTTTCAAAATCTCCTGTATAGACGTCGCATCATTTCGATGGTATGTGTCCAGATTTGATTTGATGAACAACAGTTCAGTGATCAACCTTTCGTTCCACCTGACCACTATATTACTTTTTATATTTTTACTCTGTTCCACTGAATTATGTGATTACACGTAATTGACTGCAATGTAGTGGCTGAGCCATTCTCTAGATTGTTTAACTTAGCAGTATCAATCATTCTAGCCCTAACTAAATTTTTATGTTCCAATAATCTAATTGACCCCGGACTACTAGTTTAACCTATGTAATTGACGTCATAGTCATTAACTAGTATTTGGTAAATTGTATCATGTTTCTTGACTGGATCTATGAAAGTCTTTAAGTAGACAGAATCTATCTCTTAGAGACTTCATTGGTTCCAATACCACACCATTTAAGGCCTCATTGAGAATTCTAATTGAGGCCTCTGACGTTTCTTCTTTATACAGCAGTACTACTGAGGCTTTGAATTCCATATTATTTTTGTTAATTTTGTCATTTCTATTGTTAATCTTATTTTTTCCCATGGGTCCTTGTATATTTCTGAATACATTCTGGAGGATAGTTACTCAACAGTAGTATTTTCTTTGTTTGTTTGATTTCATTATATAAATCTCCTGGCTTACTAGTAAGACTCCTGGCCCATTTGTATGGACATTTAACTAAGCCTATCTTTATCGATTCTGGATGGGACGAATTAAAGTCTAACTAAATATTAGAGTGTGTCAACTTCCTAAAAATGTTAGTATCTAACCGACTATCCTGTTTTCGTTTTATTCTACAGTCTAGCATGGAAAATTCAGCTTGTTCACTTCATAATTCAAAAGCGAATTGAATCCCGTCTAATATTGAGTTTATATGTGTGAAGAACTGAGAGATATGTTCAAATTTCGACACACTGAATATGTTACCCACATATCTTCACCATAACCTAGGAGAGGGATTAAGCGTTCTAAGAGCTTTTTGCTCCCACCTATCCATAAATGTATTTGCTGCTGCTACGGATACTGATGATCCCATTACTACCTCATTCGTTTAATCATGTAGTTTATTTTGAAATTTGAATACATTGGAGGTTAGACGCATAACTGAACACCTAATATTATTTCATCAACCGAGCGAGAGCTTAGTCCTACTTCTGAGTTCAGGATAAATGTTCAGTTCATTCCTAACAGCCTCCAGAGCTCTATTAATGAGAATATTAGTATATAGACTGGTTATGTCAAAACTAATCATTTTTCCATCTTTTTTTAATTGAAATTCCTCTAGCTTCTGTTTCGTTATATGGGAATTAGTTAGCCTAGAATTTGACCTTCTCTGATTGGGTGTAATACTGAAGCTGAATATTCAGATATCTCTTATGTTGGTGTGTGCCTAAAGCCAACTATTAGGCTAATAGAATATCCTGTTTTATGAATTTCAGTAGTGCCATGCATTCCACTAGCATAATTGGTTTCACGTATTAGATTAAACCATTCTGACTCACCCAAATGTGTCTTCATACGGCATTCTAGATCACTAGTAGATTTTTTGATTTGATGCAGAATAGTGTCCACAGGATTTTTAATTGCATTATACTTGAGACTTTTCAAGAAGTCAGGAACGTATATCTCTGATATTTTGTAATACTCTAGAAGCTGCTTCTTTAGAAATTCATACCTATGCAAATTATCTGCTGTGCAGGCAGAACCAATCTGGAAGTCACACAAAATAACACTATTATTCCAAGAATATTTTTATTATATTGAATGCTTGATAATAAGTGAGAAAAATTTGACAGAACCAAAAGGCATTCATCAGTGTTCCGGAGAAATTTTTGTTTTCAGTTGATTTTGGAGTTAATGACATTCACTTGCTTGTTCATTCGTACAAAACGCCCAAATTGTTGTACTTCGGCTATTTACAATTTGACTACACACGGCTAATAAACACATGAGCATGGTAGTCCATAAAGGAAACACTGAGAAAACAAGGCGATGTCTCGCAGGTGGATCTCCTGGTTGTAACTGTCGAAATCCATTGTAAGATGAACCATCTACATATCCCTCCAAATACAAGCAAACAACAGTCTGTCCAGCCAATTTCCACAGCATAAAACTCACTATCAATGTTCGATTGAGTTTGCTCCCCGCATCATAATCACCGAATATTTGAGGAGGTCTAAAATGTGCAAAAAGGAAATACGGTGAGCCCAAGTGAGACGGAAACGCCAAAAGCACATTTATTCATTATTAGTTGGTGATCAGTTTGATGATCACTTACCTTCCAGACATGAACAGTAGACTTGTGATGAGTAGAATAAAATCCACAAAGCACATTGGTATCAATACAATCAACCAATTGTTGATTATAATCCCATTGGACTGTGAAGTCTGTGAAAATAAGAGTATGCAGCATATTGTCCACAAAGTTAGCACTTTATTGATAAGTAGCATTGCCTGTAAAAGAGAAAGTTGACACTAAATTACGTAACAAAAGTAGATATTATCTTTGGGGGCTGTATAACACTACATTCGGAAAACAGAATAATTTAGCAAAAGGAAATGAAAATAAAGAAATCTGCTTTCTATTGTCGCATCATATGAAAACTGCGGATTGTATACACTTATGATTTCCAGAAAGCTCATACCGGTTCTAATATATCAGGTCTCATTCCTTCTCTATAGACAGACAAGATTATTCATGAAAATGGCATGTTTATGAATCACTAGCAGCCTACTTAACTCAATTAAAAAAATTCCTCGTCTGTAGGTGACAGAGAATAAGGATCAACTCCAGACTCTCTTCCTGAATAGCGGTAGTGTTCTCCCTCGCCTCTCATTTATGCTGTGCATCAACGTACATCCTGATCTCACCAAATCTCCTATGGTCCTCTACGCAAATGACCAGAAAATCGGATAGACATGAAGGATGATAGGAACATGCTTACGCTACTGGCATATCTCAACAATCTATTAGGTTGGTCGCGAAATGCATGATTCCTATCGATCAGTGTAGCAAAGTGCGCAAACATTTAACAAGTATCTTGCATAACACAGATAACACATAAATTTATGATAAAGATAACCGACCAACCAGAACGAGCATTAATCGCTATCAGTGAAAAAAAATTGGAAAGGATAACTTCTTTCACTTATCTAAGGAGCATCGTTTCAACCACATGATGAAGATGTCAAAACGAGAATTGGAGAGGCGAAGTAGACCTTCATCACTCGAGGATCAGTTCAGAAATCCTCTGTACCCCGCAGCATAATCAATAAAATTCAGATTTTCCACACCAAAGTCAGGTCAGTTCTCCTATGTGGGCCAAAACTTGGCACAAGTGTCACGAAAAGCATTTCTAACAGGGTGCAGGCTTTTATCAACAGTGTTCTTCGGTAATTCCTTATTGAGGATAAAATGGACGGAAAGAATTAGCAAAAAGAAACCCAAGAGACCAACCAATCAAGCACCTATTACTCAACAAATATGCAGAAGAAAATGGAGATGGACTGGACATGCTGAGCAGACCAATAAGTGATGTTGCGCACCAGGTCATCTCTTTAGTCTAACCCTGATGGGAAACGACGAGTTGGGTATCGGTCTGAGGGTGACATGGAGGAGAAAGTATAAGGAGGTGAAGACAGCTTGGGGACTATAGAGAACAGGGTGAACTGGAGATCTGCTGCTGAAGCCCTACATTTCACTCGAATTTCAAGGGAATAATAATAATGCTGACATATTTCACAGAAAGTGATTACTTATACTCTAACGATGAAGGTCATCATCCTCAGCTACTCACTAGCCAAGCATTTGATAATTCGTATTTATACTCTCCATAATATTAACACAAGATGACTACTGCATAAAATATAAAAGCTAACGCTTTCATGAACATGTTTGTATATATAACAGTGATTATTACTACGAATAATATATGTGAAATATATTCTTTCGCATAGTATACATCAATTCAGACTCACGAAAACTATTGAATGTGTGTCGTTGTTGCTTTGTTTGAATTCTCAAATTCTATCTGATTTTGTTGATGATTCAAATCGACTTTATTCACTTGATAACTTGTTTCCTTCTCTAAAATGATTGAACCACTTTAAAAGAATGTTTACCCACTTACTCCAAATTGGAATAAAAAAAAACTTTGAACTGTGCTTATTTTTTAAAGGACATTCAAGAAAATATTCAATCAAAACAAGATTAATTCTTGGTAGATACATAAAAATAGGTGCAATTTTAAATATGTTTGAGAAAAAGATATTGGCTAAACACGTATGAAGAATGAATACAGCAAAAAATTAATCAATTTTCCAGAATAGATGATTCAGTTATATCTCAAATGTTTTCTTAATACTTTGTTGACTTCTGTAAAGTTGTGCTTACACAACATTATATGCAGTAAAATATATATTAACAAAATTCCTCAGAAAACAGATTGTAATTATAATTAACAGAAATATGAAAAAGGGTAAAGAGAAAAATAATTTATCTTTCCTTGTAATGAATTTAAATCGACTGCTGTGCTGTGTCTTTTGTATGAGATAAACTCTTTTAAGTGAGATGACCTTTATTTGTTTGTCGTATTTTTACTATTAATAGACGATTGTTTTTCCACAGACTTTACAGGAACACTTTAATTCACAAATACACGTTGGTACAAACGCATTACACATCCTATCCTTCAAACACAACAATTAGATAACCACACATGTGCAAGTTATTCCTAATACAACTGCAGAAAGTGTATTCTTCAAACAGAATTGAACCTCCTTGTGATAATATTCGTCACATTATACTTTCCTAGAATTGTAGCCTGCCCTGACTGTCCTTTGAGTTTACTGCCCTTCTAAGCATATTACTGCTCTATGTGGAATTAATTGGGTGCTCATTCTCTCTCTCTCTCTCTCTTTCGAAATATTTGTCAGACAACCTAACCTTCTAATTTTCGCATCATTCGAGTAAATCTTCTTGACTTCCACCAAGCAACTTTGTACCAGGCTGTGAGTCATCTGTCCTGCAATGGCTTATATTGAAACAATCTGACGCTTTAGTTTACTCTATGTAATGGCATTTGATGCAGGAATAATGATAATCACTTTATTCAAAACAACAATAATTATACATAATAGAATTTTCAGCGTTTTTACATTGATTGCAACAATTTAGCTCCTTTTACAAACACTTAAACACATAAAATTTAAAATAATAATAATATTAATAATGAAACTACTATAAACAGAATGTTGGTGGAAACACAATGAAGTATAAGCAGGGAGTATCACAGATAATACATGAAATAATACTGATAATCTTTGCTCATACTTTGCAGTTCATTAGTTGATTTAAAAAGTTTGTCATTTCTTTTCTGTCATCTGAGTCTTCATAGAAACCTGTGCTAAATATGGTATGGTAGAATTTTTACATTTAGTTGTACGAGCGTAAAACATTACGAACTTGCTTCTGGTTTTACCCAAAGATATACAAGAAAATAGGTGTTAGTAAAGAGGATGTTCAGTGTCAGATAAGATAACTTTAGCCAAATGCTCGCATGAATTGTTAAGTGCCTATTGACAATAGTGTCAGCTGGTTCAGTCAAAGGCACACCACTAACCATACTTACAGTCTTCTGTGTTCTACGTATTATGAAATAATCGTTTTTGAGATGTCCAGGGAAGAATAATGGTGAACAGTAAAGGAGAATGGGAAGAATATATGAATGAAAAAATTGTAAGAGGAGGGGTTGAGTTATGCCAGAAAATTTCAACTTCTTTACGGAGTCAGTCAAACGAAAAACTTTCTTAGAAATGAGACGACCAAAAGAGACTCGAAGAAAAACTGATACCGAGATGAGAGATATTCCATTTACTCCCTATCACAATGCCATCAATATTACAGGAATAATGAAGCTAAATCAGTCCACTTAAGCCTTGTATGCACCTGAAACTAAAATCAACGATACGACGTTTAGATGGATTCAGGTTAAGACCATCTAGGTGAGACCACCTGTTGACTTCAGATAAGAATCTTTTCATATAAGAACAAACCAATGCAGAAACTACTGGGACAGAAATGGTTAGATCATCGGCATATTTAAGGAAGTTAGCTTTGGAAGGATTGTGGTGGACCATTTGCTCTGTTAGCTTATTAACCCAAATTCAAATAGAAAACAAAATACCAAATCAATTGAGTTTACGGGAAGAATATATTAAAGTTTTGTTACTTGGGTTTACAAAGATCCAAATTCCACAATAAACGTAATGGATTCCAGAAGTGCTGCGGGAAGACTGCTCCAGTTCTAATTCTCCAGCTTTGACGTTGCCGGAGGTCGACCAAAGTGCGTAGGAAGAGGCTACGGTACTCCTGCAAAAATTCGAGATAGAAAGCAGGTTGTTATAAATGATCGACGGCAGTTGAGATGGCGGAGAAGACGGAGAGTCGAAGGCAGAATTATATATTTATTTTTTTTAAACTCGAAGGGAAGTTCAAAGTACAGAGTTTTTGGTTAAAACAAAGTAGTGTACAATATGTTCATTTTTTACATAATAGTAAAATTTGGATAAGTTTATTTTTGAGGACTCCACAGGATGCGGGAGGTCATGTAAAAAGAAAGATTAAAGGAATGAAGAGAGTAGAACGCTTTGAGGCTTATCAGTTTCCGTTAGCAGCGAAGTGGAGCACTTCCCATATAAATCCGTATGTTGTTTTCTACTCCAAAACAAAAGACGACCATCATTCATATAAGAATTATAAATACCTATTAGAAAGCGTTGGTTTTCTATAAACACTAGTGTGTAGTTTGCCTTCTTCTATTCATTTTATTTTACAATCTAACATAGCTAATTCTGCTTGCTCATTTTCGGCTTCAAATGTGAATTTTATTCCCTCCACTAGTGAGTTTATGTGTGTCAAGAAGCTAGAGAGAGATATGTTCTGTTTTTAACACTGCGTGTGAAAGTGTCATCCACATATCTCTACCATATTTTTGTAGTAGGATTAAACGTATTAAGAGCCATATTTTCCCAGCTATCCATAAATATATCTGCTACGACAGGGGATAATAGCGATCCCACACACATAAACTCACTAGTGGAGGGAATAAAATTCACATTTGAAGCCGAAAATGAGCAAGCAGAATTAGCTATGTTAGATTGTAAAATAAAATGAATAGAAGAAGGCAAACTACACACTAGTGTTTATAGAAAACCAACGCATTCTAATAGATATTTAGACTTTATTTCATCTCATCCTTTAACTGTTAAGGCAGGCTTAGTTAAGCGTTTAACAAACCGAACAATGGCACTAAGTAGCACAAAAGAGACTTAAATGATGAGATAAAACTGATAGAAGAGGCGTGGGTGTTAAATAACTATCCTTCAAAATTCATTAGGAAGATTGACAAAGGCCAAAAGAAAAAGAAAAATAATTGTGAAACTAGTAATAA